TGTAAACCATATTACTTGTATGGCCCAAATTTTAAACTTGGTTGAACATATCCTGGTTGGTGTAGCCCAGGATAAATGGCAGAAGCGAATTTAATTCTTGTTTTTTAAAAAATGCATTTCCCAAAGACTTCACAAAGGTAAAAGCCTAAACGATGGGATATCCTAAATGGACAATTCACCAATTACATGGGAGAAAGATCACCATGAAAAGAAGCCAGTAGAAAAAACAAGTAGAATTAGATTCACCTATTTAGAATTATTAGATGTAATGCATATGTATCAAGAAATGAACGTCAAAAAGTATTTTTTAAAAAAACTGACTGTCCCAATTAAACAGGTGGATTTGAAAAAAGAACTTCAAAAAATAAAACATATAGTAACTGAAAAGAATAATGCAGTGAAATGATTAAACAGTCATGGCTGAAGATAGGATAAATGAAATATAGGACTCAGCAAGTTACACAGAACACAGCCAAAAGAGAGAAGGATATGGGAAGGCGAGATTGAAGATTAAGATAGTGTGAAAGGTCTAATGTATGCTTAATTGGGATTCTGATAAGAGGAACCACCATAGAATGATGTGAAGGCAGTTTTCAAAGGTAGTACCTGAGGTTTCTGAAGATTTAAACATTAAACTGAGGCTTAGGAATTCCAAGAAAGAATTTTTTTTAAATCTACACATATTGCATCTTAATGAACCTGCAGAATAGAAAAGACAAAGATCTGAAAAGCATCCAGAGAGATCTAGATTGCCAGATGGCTGATTTCTTACCAGAAACAATGGAAGCAAAGAAGCAGTGGAATGGTATCTTTGAAGTGCCATTAGTCTAGAATTCTACATCCAGTGAAAGTAGTTTTTAAGAACAACAGTAGAATAAAGTCATTTTCTGAGGTTACCGAAAGCCTCTCTGAAGAGTGCATTTATAGAATGTTCTTCAGAAAGAAATCAGTGATCCTGGAAGGAAATAGGAGCTACAGAAATCAACATAGCAAAGAATGTCTTTATAAAACTAAACAAACATTGATTGTTTAAAATAGTAACAGTCACGGGTGATTTCTAGAGTTTAAAAATCCAATGTATAACTATAAATAGGGGGAGATCATGTCAAGAGGTGGGTAATCAGAGTTAAAACATTAAGTCTGTATTGTTTGGGAAAAATTGAAAAAAGTATTAATAACTTTAGACTTTGTGATCTTAGATATCCATGATCAAATATCGAGGATAACCACTAAGTGATAGATAGAACACATAACATCCAAACTAGCACAGGTTAAAAAAAATACAGAAATGAACGTGAATATATGAATAGATACAATCACTGTAAATGGACTAACTCTTAAAGACAAAGATAGCCTAGCTCCCCCCTCAAATAACTATATTCTATTTATGAGACTTAACTAATATGAACACAAAATGTTTGAAAGTAAAAGGATCAAATGGTACATAATTTAAATGTTAACCAGATACCATTAATTTTGTTATTGCAAGAACCATAGAGTGTTACTATATATTCATAAACAATTTGCTTCACTAGAGAGATTTGATAATTCCATTCTAAATGCAATAAAAATTGATAGCAGTGCGAAGACCATTAACAAATCCACAGTGTGATGAACAAGCTTGACATAATGGAACAATTGGGAACATACATTCTTTCAACCACATGGAACATTTATAAAAATTGATCACATACTTGGCCATTTTCTGAGTCTCACAAAATTCAAACGATTGCTTCATAAAAATTATTTTATCATAAGGTAATCAAGTTACTGATATCAAAAACATAAACACCTGCATACTTTTGAAATTTTAAAATTGTACTTCTAAATAACTCATGGGGCATAGAGTAAACCAGAGCAGAATTAAAAACAGATGTCCTATGATCCAGTAGCACTTGAATTAATTAATGATAGAGCAATGAAGTATAAGAACAGTAGCCTCATAAAGGCAATTTGACATTTGAATAAAAACAACTTACACCATGAAGTCATATGCAATAAAAGGCTAACGAAGAATCATAGTAAGTAATTGCTATGCTCATGGGAAAATTAGTAGTTTAGCTTGAGGCTTACAAAAAAAAGATGTTTTTTCTTTTAAAAAGAGATCATTTTTCTGATGATTAAAGTGGTATAACCAGATATCAGAAGGGCAAGATGATTTTGAGTACATCAAAATTAAATGCCGTGTGTGACAACCTAAAATTGCTACAAAAAAGATTGTTATGTTGGAGTCTATTTGCAGCAGATATGATGGAAACGCAACAAGTAATTTGGGCAAAGGGCGTGCAAAGGTTATTCACAAAACAAGAAACAGAAATAGCTAATAAATATTTGAAAAGATGTACAGTATCAAGTGTAATCAGAAGTGATAAAGAGGGGAAGCAACAAGGGATAATGTTCATGTCAGCTTGGCCAGGATGAAAAAGATTGAAAAGCTCACACATCAGGGTTTATACATGCAGGGGCTTGTCCAGATGTTTTCTCCATTCTTCATATTGTCAGTTTGGCTTATGGTCTTTTTTGGTCATGCACAAAATTTTGCTGTTTTGTAGTAATATTTATCAGTCTTGCAGTTTTTATGAGGTTCAGTTATATTACTTTCATCTTCTGTTAACAATTCGACAGTATATTCTGTACTCTTTGATCCAGTAATGCCACTTTTAGAAATTTGTCCCAAGGTAGACATAAAATTATATATAGACAAGACTGTTCTTTGTAGCCTCTTTAATACTAGTAAAAACCTGGGTAAATTTCTAGGAATAGATTGTGTTGCATCTATATACATGTATATATATATATAGCATATGTATACACACACACACACATTCATATATGTGTATATATATGCCATTTGTATATGTAAATTTATTATACTTAAAAGAGTATAAGGAACGATAGTAACCGTTTAAATGACACAGAAAGATACGCATGGCACTGCTAAGTGGAAAAAGCAGGATATATCTCTTCTGTATCACCTGGTATGTACCTGTCAGTTGTAAGCGGCACCTGTTTATAGCTGTACAGACGACAGTTATATCCCATGATGAGTGTGTAGAATATGCTGTAAAATAAAAAGTTCTAAAGTATAATTTGAGGGGCCTGAGGTTTTGTCACTGTTTTTGACAGATCTCTTTACACCTCAGGGCCTCCGTAAGTGCCCTTATCTCTAAAAATGCAGGAAGGGAGGTGGGCATTGGACCTGCTTAGCAGTGAGAAGTACACCACAGTGGGTGTCACACCCTCCTCCTGCATCCAGGACGGGCGTTAGTCATCAGTCCTGTCTTCTTTCTCTGGGCTGAGCCACGCCCCAGAATTCCCAGCACACACGGTGTTAGGCCACCACTCCTAAGCAGGTTGTCCTTGGCGCCTGACACTTCTTTGCCATCCTTGGATAAGGTGATCTTAGAAGTCCTTTCAACTAAAAGATTTTTCTGATCAAAGAACAAAGTTATTTACTGTGGTGAGAAATAACAAGGAATATCTTTC